CCTCTCAAAAAAAAAAAAAAAAAAGTAAGGAATCATCAGATGGGCCAGTCAATGGTGTGATGGGTGAGATGGGTGGATCCCACATGGCGGACTGTGTGTGTTGAGTCCTAGGCCTGGTAGTTTGAGAAACATGCCAGGCAAGTGTGCATAGTGCCCAAAATCCTGAGAGGAGACTAGAGGAGAAGGGACAAGGAAGGATTGTGGCCATCCTCCTGGGGATGGTGCTTTCTAACTCTCTTTCTCTGTCTCCATGAGTGCATGCAAAAATTAAAAACAAAGAAAAGTCATCAGATAATAGTACCTGCATTTCTCATATAATATTAACGTTTTCCACAATAATTACTGATATTTGAATCTTGTTTCTTGAACTCTAAATTCTTTTTTTAAAGAATTATTTTATTTAACTTTTTATCTTGAACCGTGATTGGCCATGTGGGAGTCCAGCGCCTTTAACCACCATGCCACTTGCCGGCCCCTAAATTCTTTTTTATATTTATTACTTCTGAGAGAGAGAAAGGGGGCAGCATCTCCAAAAAGGTCTTTTTTTTTTAAAAAAAAGAATTATTTATTAATTTATTAATTTATTAATTTATTTATATTTTAGAGATTCTTGCTATAGGGTGCATGCACTCGCCAGACAGACAGAGACAGAGCAAGAGCAAGTGAGAAATCACCCTCCAGGGGGCATGGCCATACCGCAATCCCTTCTCCTCCATTCTTCTCTTGGGATCTTGGGCATGTACACACACGTGCCCAGTGTGAGTTTTAAGCTGCTGGATCTGGGGCTTGAACTGTGGTGGACTACATGGGAGTCCAGTGATGTAGCCATTATGCCATCTGCTGGCCCCAGAATTATATAGTTTATTTTATTTATCATTAGTATTATTTTTAAACTTGGTATAGTCATGAGAGACACAGACAGAAAAGGAAGGTGAGAAAGCAAGCCACCAGATCTGGGACTTGGACTGAAGTCGACTAGGTGAGAGTCCAGCACCTTAACCACCATGCTATTTGCTGGCCCCTCCAAAAAGGTCGTGATGCCATGATCTACCCCCCAGTCTTGGCCAGCCCTGGATCATGGGCATGTGGCATACCTGGCACATTCAGGAAGACTCCGAATGTGAATCCAGAACCTTCCAGTGTGTGCCAGCAGTAGAGTGTTGCATTCCACCACTAGAGCACTATGCAGCCCCTAGATGCTAAGCTATCGAACAGCCAGATCCAGTTTCATCTCTGTACCCATGCCTGAGGGTACCTAACACGGTACTCTGCTTACTGAGCAATCACTTAGTATTATTGAATCAGTGGGTCTCTTTCCCATCATCTATAAATTGACCCGCTGCCCATCAAAACAGACATGTGTGGGGGCGAGGTGGTACCACAATGGTAATGCAACTGGATTTGTATCAGAAAGGTCCCCAGTTTGCACGTGGGGTCTCCATGTGCACACGTGCTCATGATCCAGGACAGCTGAGACTGCTGTGAGGAACCTGTTGAGGGTACTTGTCATTCTCTCTCTTTCTCTCTCACTGGAAAAACAAAACAAAGCAAAAAACCAAATGAATAAACTTAAAACAACAACAAAACCAGACGTGCATGGATTTTACATTGTTCTTAATCTAAATGGGTTTTAATTTTGTTTTCCAGTCTTTCCTTTCTGTCTAGGATGGCCAAATAAAACCTACATGGGTGGTTCAGAAGAGCAGCCTTCTTGGTGTGGAGAGAAATGTAGGGACAAACAACCTCTGCTATGCCAGTCTCCCCTGCAACCCCCATCATAGGAGAGCTATGGAAGATTTTCACAAGACAGAGTGGCAAAGGAGTCCAGCAAGTTCCCAAGGTGTGCTGACTACCCTTCGTGAGCCAAGGACCCTCGCTGTGCCCCAGGAATCTTTAACTCACACAAAACCAGCCAGGCCCAGTCTCGTGGCCCAGTCATAGTGCACTGGGCTACAGTGTTAGCAGCCACATGGCCGACTATGGGTTCACGTCTCTGGTTCAGCTAGCCTGAAATATACCAGGCGCTCATGCACATGTGCTCAAAGGTCCTAGTGAGCTTGAGGACTCAGGGGAGGGGATAGTAGCATGATGTAGCCCTGTCGAGGATGCCCTTCTTTTCTTGTCCAAGAACACTTACTCTCTATTGCAAATAAAATAATCAAACTTAAAAAAATAAAATAAAAAACGACTGGCCCCATGGTCTGGTGGTTAAGGTTGCTGGATCCATAAGGCCCACTGCATGGTTGGATTCTCAGACCTGGAGCCTTGGGAAACATGTCAGGTACATGAGCATGCATGTCCCAAATCCCAACATGATGGAGAAATGGAGAAGGGACTGTGGTGTGACCATATCTCATTGTGGGGTGTCTTTTCCCTCTTCCTCTCTGCCTCTCTGGTGATACCTCCACCCTCTTGCAAATCAAAACAAAACAAATCAAAACAAAACAAAACAAATCTCAGGCAACTAGGACGTCTCCTGGTAGTTGAGGTGTGGCCCTTCCAGGTATTTATTTCCAGTTTATTCTTGCTCTGTAAATACTCGCAGTATCTGATGTGAGTTTGCTATGCAGTCTGCTATTGCTGATGACAATGACAGTGACAATGCTAAGGATGACAGCAGTAAAATCTGTTGAACACAGTAGCAGGCACTCAGCTAAACTTTTTTTTTTTTTTGAGAGGTTTTTGCTACAGGGTGCATGTGCTCGCCAGAAAGAGAGAGAGACAGACAAACAGAAAGCGAGAAATCATCCCCCAGGGGGGATGGCCACGCTGCAGTCCCTTTTTCTCTCGGGATCTTGGGCATGCATGCACACACGCCTGGCGTGATTTTAAGCCACCGGGTCTGGGACTTGAACAGCGGTCGACTACATGGGAATCCAGCGACATAGCCATTAGCCAACTGCTGATCCCTTGGCTAAACTCTTCGTGCACATTAACTCATTTAAACTTCATGACTACCTTAGCAGGCAGTACTATTATGACTTCCATTTAACATGTGATCAGATTATACACCACAGATCCAACATGGTAAAGTCACTTGATCAAAGACTCAGGGCTTCCACTGCCAAGGTAGTACTTACCTAGGGAGGACAGAATTCGGTGGCCTGGACTT